CTACCTGTAACTACCTGTAGCTCCCTGTAACTACCTGTAACTACCTGTAACTACCTGTAAACTACAGTTTTTACCTGTCAACACATCAAAGACAACGTGTTGATATTTACGTGTGTTTGCAATCTGCATACCTTTCTAATATTGTTGTTGTTTCAACTGTAGCTAAGTGGTGCATGGGAAGTTGCCCAGCTTAAAGTCTAAAGATATTGGGAGGGGGGGGGGGGAGTGTGGTTTAAGTGCATCCAAGTTCGATGACATTATGAGGTATGGCGTGTGCCGGCATCGAATGCTTGCTAGTGCTGTACACTTCTTGTGATCGAATGCTTTTGATTGCTTGAAAGTCCCGAGTTCGGATCCCGGACCTGAGCCCGTACGAAGTTCCTGAGGTTACCCAACCCTAACTCACGATATCGAAAGTAAAAGCGGCTTAATACATCTTAATACAGTCGTCGCTCTACTCTACTCTAGTCGTATGTGGTAAAATTGATTAAAATTAAATCTACAAAATAAGGAAGCGTGTAAAACAAATCTATTTTGATTATAGTGTTTTAAGAAACGGATACACATTTTTTAAAAAAAGGATTGTAGAAAAATTACGGTTTTCTGACCCCGGCGTGATTTGAACACACAACCTTCTGATCTGGAGTCAGACGCGCTACCGTTGCGCCACAGGGCCTTGGTTATAGGATACTAAGAGACAATATAAAAATGAAATCGAGAAGAAATTGGAGAACGTGAGTCAAGTCTCAAAAGTAAACAAAGGACATAATATAAATAGGAAGACCTTCCACCAACAGGAATTTAGAAGAGTTGTACCTCTTAAGACTATCGAGGTAACTGATCAGTGCAGTTTGAACGTAAGTTTTGACGGATTTTACACCTTTTTTTTTAAAAAATATAACTTTTTTAATTTGGTGCCATTCCCCCCCCCCCCCTCCCCACACACATACACACAAACTGTGACAGATTGTGTAGTCAACGTAAATTAAATTACTTTTTAGATTATATTCGACATGGTGTCACCTCAGTCCCCAACGCTAGTTAACGTAATGCTGGGTTAGGTGGTGTAGTGACGTCTATCGCCTAATTTTTTCACGTAATAAATAGTGCCTACTTGTTTCTGAGTAGTGTGGCTGTTACGTACAGCTTTACGAACATGACGGTCCGCGAGGGAGATGTAGTAGAGTTCACATGTTTCTGTGACCTCGGCATATAAATGGATAGTGTGGTTAGCACAATGCCTAGGTCGCCTTTATTTTCCCTAAGTCTCGTCCTAATCATTAGAGTTGGGTGGACTCTGGGACGTCTTGCAAACCATAACAGCGACCCGAACTCGAGACGTTCGGGTTAGCAGTCACAGGCTCTATTACGCCACCCCATCGCTGATTGTGGTCACCCACCCACATGGTGGCTCAAAGTACCACCCACACTCCCCACTCCCCTCCTTGTGACGCTAGTACCTTGATTTAAGAGCTATTTAATTAGCAGTCTAATTAATATATACCCGACTGTCTACACGCAAAGTGGCTAGTTAAAGTACTAAACCAGGTATTTCAACACTGAAATAAGTTTCTATAGTATTTTTTTTTTATTTTTATTTCATATGAGCTAAAACATTTATTTTCAACCAAAAAAAATGTTTTATTTAAATTCTCTATGCGTTCTTGTAATAAATATAGAGAAAGCATTGGACTTAAACCAAATAATCCACGCCGAATGGAGAATTTCATTTCCATCTTACTAAAATTAGCCGACCAACAAAAGACAACGCTAGCGACTCAAAGATTTGGATTACGTCCCTTTCCTAATCGATTACATCAAGAGAGCTTTGAAGCGGAAAACTGAAAAAATCGCATCTGTCTACGTAACAAAAGGTTCGAACTTATTCTTCTCCGTGCCTGATTACACATTACAAAATAGTGCCAGAGTCAGGCCATAATTGAACCAGGCGCTGACCGAGAAAAAGAACTAGAACTTTTATTTCAAAACGTGTTTGTCTCCCTTGAATAATTCACTTTCGATTTCGCGCGTTATTTTTATGTACTCTTTTTTGATACATTGAAATTTCATTTACGGGGAATTAGTTTCGTTTTAAAATTTAATAAAATCACCGAAAAGTATTTTCTTTTCAGTGGTACGTCGTTGGTTCTGACGTTATGGTAACGCTAAATAAGGATTCGCTATAATTTCCTTAAAGAAAAAATTCCTTTATTGTAAAAAAAAAATCTTATCGACGGTTTTCCGTTGCTTGCGTGCGGCTTCATGGCGTGTTTCTGTTGTTGAAGGGACCTAATTTGGTTTTTTAATTAGACGGTAGATCTTACTGGAATGTACTCTGTGAGTCTGGCTTTTTAAAAATTCGAACTCACGAAACTCGTCCTGGGTAGGAGCATCTCTAATCAAGTTAGGGACCTCGCCCCAGAGATCCCTTACACCGAGACTGTAGTCGAGAGGTTTCTTCTGCACTGAACGACGTGGGTAGTTCCTTCACCCCGGCCACCTTGTAGCACCCGCACCTCATTAGGATACCAGCACCGTGAGAACTCATTAACAGTGACTTGAGTTTTTAGGTGCCATCAAGTGCAACACCGGCATTCATTACATATATATATATATATATATATATATATATATATATATATATATATATATATATATATATATATATATATATATATATGAATGTTTAGCTTGCAGATGAAACCAATTCGACTTCTACCATTATTTACATGTTTGATTCATTATATTCTAAATATTCCAAATATTCCAAATATTCCAAATATTCTCATGAAATATATTTTAAAATAAATATACCGGGAGTGATCTCCCCAAAACTTTCTCGAATATTCTTATATAACTTGGAATATAGACATGATTTTTAATTACTTACACTTTTAAAAATAGAATAGAATCTCATAGAAAAAAGAATTGCGCATCAAGCGAACGCCAAAACAAAATGTGCATAATAGTGCGCAATATTATTAGTAGGTCTAATTTATAAATTTACATGCGTTTTTTGAGAAATCGGAAATAGCATTAATTAGTACTTCCGGTCAACGGAAATTACTCAAAATTTGACAGAAGGTAGAGAATTAGATCTTTTACTCACATTTCAAATTTCATTTATCTATCTGAAATAGTACTCAAGTTATAGGCTGTTGAAAAATTCAAGGTAGAAAAAGTACCACTTCCGGTTATTGGAAATTGCTCAAAAGTTGATCAGGATCTACGATTTTGATAAAATACTTATATATGAAATTTCATATAAAAAGTTTAAGTAATTAAAAATCATGTCTATATTCCAAGTTATATAAGAATATTCGAGAAAGTTTAGGGGAGATCACTCCCGATTTATTTAGACATAGATCAATGTCTAGCGAGTAAATGCCTACAGATACAACCATGCAACATTCATTTAAGACGCTTTTACGGGGATTATCGTAAAGTATCTTCAGACGTGCATTACATGCTGCAATTTATATCGAAGGCACATGTTCATATTTCGTCGGCTTCAAATTATCACCGGCTGAAAAACGTGCAGGTGTTTATTTCTGTTTGTATGTGTGTGTAGTGTGTGACTTTCATGTGTTTATTTCTGTTTGTATGTGTGGGTAGTGTGTGATTTTCGTGTGTTTATTTCTGTTTGTGTGGCATTGACAAGACACAGATAACACACACATACACACACAACTCACTGATACACAACAAACACAGAAACACACGACAACCACACACTACACACACATACAACCGCCCTTGTACAATGTTTCAAAAAATTCACATATACAACATAGTTTATTTCTTTTTTTTTAACAAGTCATATCATATAAAACTGTACAAACATAAGAACATTGATCTGCATAAGAAAAAACAAACATTTGACAGAAATTAGCCAGGTCTAAACTCTCAAAAGCACTTACTCAACAGGTACATTGTACATTTGTCTGTTATGTTACACAAATCGCCTGACTAATATGTGCAGGTTTTCAAAACTCGTATATTTTCATACAAAGATCATCAGGCTCTTTAATGTATGATCTTTAATCTTCCTGCATTAACTGTATACAAGTTGTATTGTGTTTGATGTTCCTACGACGTTCCATACAGAATCACGTCGCTTTAGAATAATTCGCTCTATGCAAGTAGAATACGTAGCTCTATGCTAGTAGGGTCTTCAAGCGTAACGTGGTTCAAACCTAATGTTTTCATGGCGCTGTTTAAATGGGGTTTCATCTACTAATTAAGTAACGCGTGTCTTACATGAGTAGAATCTCATCCAAATTGAAGAAGTCTTCATAGGTTTTACATTCGGAAAGGGAAACTAACTCTGTTTTACTAGCACCAGGAGAGTGAGCAGCCAGGAATATACCCGGCAAACTTGAACAGTTTGACTGCCATTGTTTGTGGCGGTTTGATCAAGGCACTTACTAAGGACTACAAAACGGAAAGAAGATTCGAGACAGATAGGTGAGTATCTGTGGGCTCTATATCCCCACCACTCAGTCCAGAATCAATGTGAGCGAAATACAGTTATGGGATTCAGTGTAATGGTGTATTTAAAGTTTGTCGTCTTTTTTTCAGCTCTGTACCGGTGTTGGTGGAGTTTGTCGTACTTTTTTCCCCATTTTTTACCGGTGTACTTTGAATTTGCCGTAATTTATTAGCTTCCGTACTTCTATATCTAGAATTTGTCGTAATTTATTCCTTCTTCACCGGTGTAGTCTATCGTCTTTACCCCATCTATACCGGTGTTGCTGGAGTTTGTCGTCCTTTTTTCCCTTTCGTAACGGTGTTCTTAGAATTTGTCTTAATTTTTTTCCATCTGTACCGGTGTACTTAGAATATGTCGTAATGTATTTCCCTCTATACCTGTGTTCTTAGAATATCTCGTCATTTATTTCCCTCTATCGCTGTGTTGTTACAATTTGTCGTAATGTATTTCCCTCTATACCGGTGTACTTAGAGTTTGTCGTAATGTATTTCCCTCTATACCTGTGTTGTTACACCTTGTCGTCCTTCTCCTCCCCGCTGCTCACTGAAGACGTGCTACTGCGCCTGCGTCGAGTGACGTCCTGCTGGAGACCTTGATCCAGCCTCCTCTGGAACTGCAGGAGTTTGGTCTTGATGTGCTGCAAGTCTTGCTTCAGTGCCAGCTGGTTAAGGTCCGTGGCTTTAAGCACCGTGGGGATGAGATCTGGTATTGCTTCTTGACTTCTGGAAATCTCTGGCTGTAGTCTCAATAGACGGTGTCTACTGGCGGCGTCGTCTTGTCTGAGATCTTGGAAACGGGATGTGTTTGAAATACCGCGGGGTGAAGGAGCTGGGGTGGTTGGTGTGGGAAGGTTCAACCGACTGGTGGGTAGAGTTAGGTTAGAGTCAGGCACTACCCCATGTCTTCGTAGCTCTGGCGTCGAGGTTAAAGAACTGACGCCAGATAGACGCGCGGTTAGTTGATGGCGTAGGTGTAGTTTGGGGGTTAAGTTTTTAGGGTCGAAGCGGATGTTTTGAGAATTAGGTTTTGGTATTGCCCCTTGGTGAGCAGGATTGGTTGTGTCCGTGTTATTATGAATGTCTGCTTCGATAGAATAGAGGTTGTTGTTGCTAGTTTGGTGGGAAGAATCTATCCCAGAAGCCCCGGATCTAGAATACTGTGGATGTCCAACATTTTGATTGCTGTTGGAGCTGTAATTATGAGCGTAGTTAGAATTTGTGTTCATCTCTCCATTCTGTTTGGGTTTTGATCCAGGTTTAGTTGTATGGTGGGTTAAGAGAGCGCTTGTTCGTATCGTTCTGTTCCCATGCGTGGTCGTTGTGGTGGTGGTGGGTGCCGTCGGTGATTGGGCTAAGGGTGACCCCGGGGGTGTGTCTTTGTAATGTTGCCTCGATGACGTCAAAACGCTACTAATTCTATACACAGATAGAGGTCTAGTGTGTAACGTAGTTAGGTAAGAACTGCCGAGTTCATCATCGAAATCTACATTTGTATTTGTCCTTGCTGAGTGCGCGTTGTTAACCACGTCACCGCTGACGTAATCAGAACGTGTGTACCGGTGCGGTGAGCCATGAACCCGGCCTTTATCACCCTCCCCTGGGCGTTCATCATCGCCGGCTGTCACGTGGTTTAGATAAACACCAGCGTCATTTCCCATCTCCGTGCAGCCCCCCTCCCCGGGGCTCTCCCCGCTTTTGATGACGTAGATGACGTCACCAGAGTCACTCAGACTCTCGTCTGCTTCAATCATGCGTTTCATCCTCAGGCTGTCGGTGCCGGAGCTACCCTGGGACTCCCAGCTGCTGCCCATGGTGACGTCACTTCCGCACCGGCTAGCCCGCCCTACGGCTGGGCGGTGCACCATTTTGTAAGTGGCGCAGACGATGACGATGCTGAGGCCAGCCACGCCTGCTATGGCCCCGGCTATGATCAGTCCCAGCTGGGTCGTGTCGCTGTCTGATGACCCATCTCTCCTGGCAACCTAATTTTTAAAAAATCAAAATAAACTTAATGAGGAATCAACATAAGGTCATAAATAACAGAATACAATAATTTGATACGGTTAATATCTACAATATCGCATCTATCACTATTGCTTAAATAATGATGATGATGATGATAATTAAACTATTGTTTTTCAGATGGGATATATAAGTTTATATATACATACATATTATAATATATATATATATATATATATATATATATATATATATATATATATATATATATATATATATATATATATATAATGTATAAACGTATATATCCCATCATATTTCCCATTCGTGCCCCAAAACACATGGGTCAGATGAAGTAGAGTTCATATTTTCAGGGAACCCGGCATATGATGGAAAGTATAGTCTGCACTGTGCCTAGCCGCCCTAGTTTTTCCTAACTGACGTCATCTACCCATCAGAGGTGGGTGGACTGACGGAAGTCGTAGAGACACGAACTCGGGTCTCTTGGGTTAGAAGTGGTGCGGTCTTCCACCCAACCATTCAGTACCCTTTACAGTTGATTACTTGATTATATCACTATACAGAAACTATATATGTCCTTCCCTATGGTATAATGTTATGAAACCAGTTAGAATTATAAATAAGAAACCTAAACTATGAACCATATGATTCTTTTCTAAATGTGGTTAACACGAAGGCCCCACCCACTTAATGCAGATTCAATCAATAATTAATTTCCTTGATAATAGTTTCATGTTTTTCAAATACAGTGTTCAAGGTTCTAACTCTTTTAATTTTTTTTTCTTTAAAAACTTAATAACACAATAATTTCTGAAATAATAGAATCTGCATTCGAATTACTGTAATTTGATCTTTAAAATAAAATTAAAAAAAAAAACAACCCAGATCTTAATGATCAATGCAAAACTTCACAACGGACCAATGTATAACGGAAATCAGCCTGTTATAAAAAAAACGATACCATCTAAACAACCATTCTATCAGGGTTCTAATGTTTCTTGAGCACATCAAATTTGTGTTTACAATCTAAACATTAAAAAAAAACGTAAAAAAGAACGTAGGTTCCGGTCAAGATAAAATCTACAACAGAAATCTGCAACGCAGTGGCCTAATTAAAGCGATACCGTCTAAATGTGCAGAGCTGGAAATGTCGGACTTGGGAAGTTGTTTTACCACAGTCAGTAGTCCGTCTGTTTTTCTTTTTTTTTTCAAGTCTGGATTGGTGGTGCCAGAATCAATAAAGAGATGCAGGAAAAACACACCCACACCCACCCACACCCACACCTCCCACACACCCCAACTCAGCGAGTAAAATCAGCTGCAATTGATTTTGTTGTTGTTGTGTTTGTTTTTTGTTTTTTTTTAAATTCACGTTTTACAGCATAGCGGGTCAAGGGGATTCAACTGATCTTTTCTCAAATAGGGGAGATAATCAATCGTCGAAAATACAACAAACACTACTGCGATGGCCGAAATGGGGTTGCACATAAATGACGTCATTAAAATGTATCCAGATTTGGACCCAAAACACCTTATCACAGCGTGCAGCTGTTAATAGCAGTAAATCACCCACAACTGAGTAATCGCAATTATTATTTTTTTCTTTTTATATTTTTTAAATATTCCTAATTATAAGCCGCCATTGTGGAAAAAAAATTACATAGTTACTACTTTTAATAAAGTTAAAAAATGGTTTTTAGTATTATCTTTCACTGTGATCTCTGTGGGACGGCGTGGTTGAATGGTAGAGCGTCCGGCTGCTAGCCTTAAGTTCTCGAGGTCGGGTCTGGTACCGAACTACGACGTCTCTGAGTCCACCCAGCTCTGATGGGTACCTGACTTAGGTTGGGGTAAGTAAAAACAACAGGGCATGGTGTTGACTAAACCATCTCTTTAAATAAATCGTAAGGTCTGAAAGGGAAATGTACCTACTTTACTGCGACCATCGACAACATGCCATGACACTCCACCATATCATAGCCATGTGCAATATATAAAGCAGTTAACGAAAAAATGTGTGATTTGGCAATATTTTCCTACAAGCTACAGAACTAGTCAAATAAAACGAGACAAATCAAAGAAACTATTGAAAGACAATAAGAAACGATGGACGGGTCTTACACAGGATGTGATAATAAAGGAATTGAGGTAACTGATCTAACGGACTACACGACAGGAAGACTGATAGCTCAGTTTCTATACTGAATACTTACAGAAAAATTGTGGGCGGTGTGGTTTTGCTCGTGGATGTTGGAATACGGTGGTCCGTGGTCCGTGTCACGTGATGTGGTGGTCACGTGAGAGGGTTGTAGAGAACCTGTCACGTGGTGTGACGCTGGGGTTACAGCCGGGGTGGTACGGGCGGGGATCGTGCTGTCGTGCATGTGGTCGATCTGTAGGAACCCCGGGGCTATGGGGGTGGAGGTAGGGGACGTGGGGAGGTCAGGGACGGTTGTGGTTGGGGGTGTGGAGGTGGTGGTGAGCCTGGGAAGGGGCTGAGCCATCAGGTCACAGTGACCTGTGTTGTTGGCGTAGTCGCTGACCTCCAGTCTGGCCTTGATGTTGCAGCAGGTGAACCTGTGAGTACAGGTTAAACTTGACAGGTGAGTACAGGATAAACTTGACAGGTGAGTACAGGTTAAACTTGACAGGTGAGTACAGGTTAAACTTGACAGATGTGCACAGGTTAAACTTGACAGGAGAGTACAGGTTAAACTTGACAGATGTGTACAGGTTAAACTTGACAGGTGAGTAAACTTGAAAGGTGAGTACACTAGACAGGTGAGTACAGGTTAAACTTGACATGTGTGTACAGGTTAAACCCGAGGCAATTTTAATAAACCAATTTATATTTCTGGTTATAACAATTGTTTGGAATACTGGACTTACATTTTACGCTATTATAATTGTTTTAAAATTTTATGTAATTAAAAAACAAAACAATTGATGCTCCCTGTGACCTACTGACCTATACTCGGCGGTGGCGGATCTGTTTCCGACGGAGTAAGAAAACTCCACGTTGGTGTAGGCGCCCTGTGGAACATTGATGAACTCGGCAGACTTGACCCCAGTCACGTGGTCCGTTACCTGGACTTTAGCTGACCAGTGCTGGACGTGGCACGCCTGACCCAACCGGCAGCCGCCCCGCTTCTCCGGGATTCTGGGATTGAATTCAAGGCACGTGACAAATAAACATGAGTTGATCAATAATTTGTTAAAATAGATACGTTAACAAAACGTAATGTTTTGATATACTTTTCGATGTATTAAAAATCTGCTTATAAAACACAGAAGACTAAGTTGACAAACTATCAGAAATGTGCAAACACGTTTACCGTTGATAAGACAAAAAGTATATATAGTTATACCGTCTTGTAAACTTACTGAACAAAATCATAAAGCAAGGGAAACAACCAACATTAAAACTAAAATAGACTGTAAATACCGGGGTTATCTCCAGTTGTCTGATCTATTCGTCCAATTTATTTTTTTATAATAAACCTATATTTAACATATTACTAGAATACCCGTCATCCCTTGGATAACTGTGGGTTTCGGGGGTCATCCATCAAAAAACATCACGTCTGTCACTCAGAGGCATAGCGAGCCTTCCCGGCGCCCGGGGACAAACTTTTCGATTTTAACCCCCCCCCCCAAGATTTCGATTTTCAACCCCCCCCCCCTCAAACTTTTGATGTGCACCCCCTCCCCCCCCCCACTCAAACTTTCGATTTGAACCCCCCTCAACCTTTCAATTTATTTTTCCAAACCATTTTTGCGCCCCAACATACGTCCCCCCGCCCCCCCCCTTCACTCCCCCCCGCCTCCCCTCCCCCCCCCGCCTCCCCTTCCCCCCCGCCTCCCCTTCCCCCCCCCCGCCTCCCCTTCCCCCCCCCCCCCCCCGCCTCCCCTTCCCCCCCCCCCCCCCCCCCGCCTCCCCACCCGCCCCCCCCCCCCCCTCCTCGCTACGCTACTGCAGTGTCACTTATCGTCACAAAAACAGAGCCCACATTCAAAAATATGTTTCTTATCTTTTAAAAACACCGAAAACACCGATTTCGGACTATCCCTTCATATACTGACGTCACATGTGACCTACTCAACTCTACTTCACCTGCCCAGTGTCCCGCCAAGTCTCAGACAACATGTTTTTATCGTTTAAAAAACGATTCCAGCCGAGCATGTCTCTGACCACACTATCCTTTCATATGGTTAGGACAAAGAAACAGATGAACTCTACTTCACCTGCCCTGTATCCTGCCAAGTTCAGATAGGCAACTTTATCACATCTAAAAAAAAAAAAATTGAAAAAAAAAATCATTTTTTATCATTAACATCTAAAAAAAAAAAAAATTGAAAAAAAATATCATTGACATATTGGTCTAGAACCTGTACCACTCGCATGAGAGCGGACTACGCTACAAACTTAGCTATTTACTCCTGACGTCACAAATGAATTTTTATACTATACTTTGATGCAACTTGATTTCGAGCGTCTAGTCTAGAAGTAGTAACTTTCAAATTAAATTTTATCTTAAATTAGCCAAACAAAGATTTATATAAAATAATTAAGGCCTGAAATAGATTCTAGATGTATTAAGGCCTGAAATAGATTCTAGATGTAGAATTTACATTGAGTCTAGATCTAGAATTTACAATGAGTCTAGTAGTGACCTAGATCTAGATCTAGGCTAGATCTAGGCTAGATTCATAACTTTACTTCGACAGCTGATCTTTAGATCTAGAGAAATTTATTGTAAAACTAAATGAAAACAGACAGTTTAAAATTGATATAAGTGTTGGAACGTAATAAATACAGCAAACGGACGTATTGTTTAAGTTATAGCCGGCAGAAAATTAGCTTTGTAACGCGTTAAACTTTTGAATGGGCCACAAAGTCGATGATGGAGTCCGCCATTTTATTGAACCAAAAAGTAAACACATCAAGGGACGTCACTATCCCCACAAAGTTTATTCAAAGTATTAACATTTTTTAAAAAATACGGTTAATTTAACAATGAATAAATCAATAAATTAATTAACGTCTTTAAATAAATTTGTGATTAACAGTCTGTCTGCATTAAAAAATTATTCTCTACCTACATACTATTTTACAGCTCTCCAGATAGAGCCGAACATATCAGGATACTTGATCAGGCAAACAAACAAATAAATATTCAAACATGTAAACAAAGTTGACTTTTAGTAGTATACTAGAATACCCGTCATCCGTTGGATAACTGTGGGTTTCGGGGGTCATCCATCAAAAAACATCACGTCTGTCACTCAGAGGCATAGCGACCCTTCCCGGCGCCCGGGGACAAAGTTTTCGATTTGAACCCCCCCCCCCTCAAACTTTTGATGTGCACCCCCCCCCCCCCCCCCACTCAAACTTTCGATTTGAACCCCCCTCAACCTATCAATTTATTTTTCCAAACCATTTTGGCGCCCCAACATATGTCCCCCCCCCTTCCCCCCTCCACCTCCCCACCCCCCCTTCCCCCCCCCCCGCCTCCCCTCCCCTCCCCACCCCCCGCCTCCCCTCCCCACCCCCCGCCTCCCCTCCCCACCCCCGCCTCCCCTCCCCTACCGTCCCCCCCCCCTCCTCGGTACGCTACTGCAGTGTCACTTATCGTCACAAAAAACAGACCCCACATTCAAATATATGTTTTTTATCTTTTAAAAACACCGAAAACACCGATTTCGGACTATCCCTTCATAAACTGACGTCACAGGTGACCTACTCAACTCTACTTCACCTGCCCAGTGTCCTGCCAAGTCTCAGACAACATGTTTTTATCGTTTAAAAAACAATTCCAGCCGAGCATGTATCTGACCACACTATCATTTCATATGCTTAGGACAAAGAAACAGATGAACTCTACTTCACCTGCCCTGTATCTTGCCAAGTTCAGATAGGCAACGTTATCATTCACATCTAAAAAAAAAAATTGAAAAAAAAAATTTCACTGACATATTGGTCTAGAACCCGTGCCTCCTGCATGAGAGCTGACTACGCTACCATTTTAGCTATTTACTCGTGACGTCACAAGTGAATTTTTATACTATACTATGTGTCTCCTTATGCAACTTGATTTACGCGTATAGATTCTAGATCTAGATCTAAAAATAAGTCTAGTAGATCTAGTACTAACTTTCAAATTAAATTTTATCTTAAATAAGCCAAACAAAGATTTATATAAAATAATTAAGGCCTGAAATAGATTCTAGATGTAGAAGTTACATTGAATCTAGTGACCTACATCTAGGCTAGATCTAGATCTAGGCTAGATTCATAAATTTCCTTCGATAGCTGATCTTTAGATCTAGAGAAATTTATCGTAAAACTAAATGAAAAAGACAGTTGAAAATTGATATAAGTGTTGGGACGTAATAAATACAGCAAACGGACGTATTGTTAAAGTTATGACCGACAGAAAATTAGATTTAGAACGCGTTAAACTTTTGAATGGGAACACAATTTTCTTCAATAGACGCCGCCATTTTATTGTACTAAAGAGTAAACAAAAACCTGTGACGTCACTATTCCCACAAAGTTTAGTCAAGGTTTTAACATTTTAAAAAAAAATGGGTTATTCTGCCTAGGAATAAATCAATAAATTAATTAACGTCTTTAAATAAATTTGTGATCAACAGTCTGTCTGCATTAAAAAATTATTCTCTACCTGCATACCATTTTACAGCTTTCCAGATAGAGTCGAACATATCACAATTTTCGATCAGGCAAACAAATAAATATTCAAACATGTAAACAAAGTTGACTTTTAGTAGTATATAGACTAGAATACCCGTCATCCCTTGGATAACTGTGGGTTTCGGGGGTCATCCATCAAAAAACATCACGTCTGTCACTCAGAGGCATAGCGAGCCTTCCCGGCGCCCGGGGACAAACTTTTCGATTTTAACCCCCCCCCCCCCCAAGATTTCGATTTTCAACCCCCCCCCCCCCCTCAAACTTTTGATGTGCACCCCCTCCCCCCCCCCCACTCAAACTTTCGATTTGAACCCCCCTCAACCTTTCAATTTATTTTTCCAAACCATTTTGGCGCCCCAACATACGTCCCCCCGCCCCCCCCTTCACCTCCCCCCCGCCTCCCCTTCCCCCCCCGCCTCCCCTTTTCCCCCCCCCCCCCCCCGCCTCCCCTTCCCCCCCCCCCCCCCGCCTCCCCTTCCCCCCCCCCCCCTCCTCGCTACGCTACTGCAGTGTCACTTATCGTCACAAAAACAGAGCCCACATTCAAAAATATGTTTCTTATCTTTTAAAAACACCGAAAACACCGATTTCGGACTATCCCTTCATATACTGACGTCACATGTGACCTACTCAACTCTACTTCACCTGCCCAGTGTCCCGCCAAGTCTCAGACAACATGTTTTTATCGTTTAAAAAACGATTCCAGCCGAGCATGTCTCTGACCACACTATCCTTTCATATGGTTAGGACAAAGAAACAGATGAACTCTACTTCACCTGCCCTGTATCCTGCCAAGTTCAGATAGGCAACTTTATCATTAACATCTAAAAAAAAAATTTGAAAAAAAAATATCATTTTTTATCATTAACATCTAAAAAAAAAAAAATTGAAAAAAAATATCATTGACATATTGGTCTAGAACCTGTACCACTCGCATGAGAGCGGACTACGCTACAAACTTAGCTATTTACTCGTGACGTCACAAGTGAATTTTTATACTATACTTTGATGCAACTTGATTTCGAGCGTCTAGTCTAGAAGTAGTAACTTTCAAATTAAATTTTATCTTAAATTAGCCAAACAAAGATTTATATAAAATAATTAAGGCCTGAAATAGATTCTAGATGTATTAAGGCCTGAAATAGATTCTAGATGTAGAATTTACATTAAGTCTAGATTTAGAATTTACATTGAGTTTAGTGACCTAGATCTAGATCTAGGCTAGATTCATAAATTTCCTTCGACAGCTCATCTTTAGATCTAGAGAAATTTATTGTAAAACTAAATGAAAAAAGACAGTTGAAAATTGATATAAGTGTTGGAACGTAATAAATACAGCAAACGGACGTATTGTTAAAGTTATGACCGACAGAAAATTAGATTTAGAACGCGTTAAACTTTGGAATGGGAACACAATTTTCTTCGATAGACGCCGCCATTTTATTGTACTAAAGAGTCAACAAAAAACTCTGACGTCACTATCAAGGGACGTCACTATCCCCACAAAGTTTATTCATGGTATTAACATTTTAAAAAAAATACGGTTAATTTAACTATGAATAAATCAATAAATTAATTAACGTCTTTAAATAAATTTGTGATTAACAGTCTGTCTTAAAACAAAATTTTTTCTCTACCTACATACTATTTTACAGCTTTCCACGATGAGTGCAACCATGCGAGATAGTCGATCAGGCAAACAAATAAATATTCAAACATGTAAACAAACTTGACTTTTAGTAGTATATAGATTATGTGCTCGTGTTACTTTACAACAATATTAAATTGTTTTTATTAAAATTTAAGTTTTTTCAAATTCTGTAATTTAAATTATAAAGATAATTATATCAGTAAGAACAGGTGTATTTTAAAACTGCACACCGATAGTGTAAGATACCATGACACTGTCTACACACTTGCATACAGGTGGAAGTACGTACCCGCAGACAGGTGGGGTGTGGTCACTTTGATACGTGGCAGGCATGGCCTGCACACTGACAACAACGCTGTCTGTCATCTTGTCAGACATCCGCATGGCTGTCACTGTCATCACGCTGTGTTACGTAGAGCATTGTGTTAGATTAGAATAACAGATGTGTTACTATGTTTGTTACGTAGAGCATTGTGTTAGATTAGAATAATAGATGAGTTACTGGGTTTGTTACGTAGAGCATTATGTTACATTAGAATAACAGATGTGTTACTAGGTGTGTTACGTAGAGCATTGTGTTAGATTAGAATAACAGACGTGTTACTAGGTGTGTTACGTAGAGCATTGTGTTAGATTAGAATAACAGATGTGTTACTAGATTTGTTACGTAGAGCATTGTGTTAGATTAGAATAACAGATGTGTTATTAGGTGTGTTACGTAGAGCATTGTGTTAGATTAGAATAACAGATGTGTTACTAGGTTTGTTACGTAGAGCATTGTGTTAGATTAGAATAACAGATGTGTTGCTAGGTTTGTTACGTAGAGCATTGTGTTAGATTAGAATAATAGATGTGTTACTAGGTTTGTTACCGTAGGTGTGTTTACATAGCAGGTGTGTTACGGTAGGTGTGTTTACATAGTTTTTTGTATTACAGTAGTAATGTTTACATACCAAGTGTGTTTACATACCAAGTGTGTTTACATATCAAGTGTGTTTTCGTACCAAGTGTGTTTAAATACCAATAACTAGTGTGTTTTCTAAGTGGAATAACATTTTTGGTACAATAAAAATAACAAGTGCTGTAATAACTATTAGCTGCACAAACGCAACATTGACCAAAAGTGCCAACCAAAATGATGGAAGTGACATCACGTGATGAACTACTCACCCCGTTTCACGTGACGTCAGAGTAGCGTTGACGCTGGCCACTACGGCTATGTAATTGATGCCGTTCTGATCTGCCTGCAGTATGCTGGGTACGGCTTTTCCGCTGAAACACTGCGCTCAGCGAGAGAGAAAAATATTACTTTACGTGCTAAATAAACATGTATGAATGCTATTTTCAGATAAATTATGAGGACCGT